CTTGGTGATGCCACTCTTTAGCCAACATTCTGTATTCCTGAAAAGGACTGACAGATTTTTCAATTCAGGCACAATGGCTTTTAAAAGCAAAACCAAACTCATTTATTTCCCTTTGCTGAACAGTGTTGTGCTTACAGGCAGTGACTCAGCCAGGCACTTTAAAATGTTTTTATTATTCTCACTTAGACATCTTCCCATTTATTCCCCCTCCTTCCCAGCACAAGATCCCAGTTCAGAGGTTGACAAGAAAGGTCAAAAGTATGTGAGCTGATTTTAATTGACATGTGATTGCTTTTAGCTCCTCTGTCTATAAATACGAATTGGTATAACTTTCTTTTCTTTTTTTAGTTTTTTATTTTTCCCCAGTTACACATAAAAACAATTTTGTTTTGTTTTGTTTTTCTTTAGGCAATTGGGGTTAAGTGACTTGCCCAGGGTCACACAGCTAGTGAGTATCAAGTGTTTCGTCTGAGGCCAAATTTGAACTCAGGTCCTCCTGACTTCAGGGCTGGTGGTCTATCCACTTCACCACCTAGCTGCCCCCTAAAAACAATTTTTAACATTTGCTTTTAAAACTTTGAGTTCCAGGGCAGCGAGGTGGTACAGTGGATAGAGCACTGGCCCTGGATTCAAGAGGACCTGAGTTCAAATCTGGCCTCAGACACACAACACTTACTAGCTGTGTGACCCTGGGCAAGTCACTTAACCCCACTGCCTAACCAAAAAAAACAAACAAACAAACAAACAAAGAAAAAAAAAAACCAAAAACTAAAACTTTGAGTTCCATATTCTCTCCCTTCCTCCCCCCCCATTGAGAAGGCAAGCAATTCGATAAAAGTTATACACATGTAGTCATTGGCATAACTTTCAATCAACTTCTCCTATTCAGTAAGTCACCTTTCTCCCAACCACATAGAACTAGAACTTGGTACATCCCCTTTAAAAAGCTGTCAACTCATTCTATTCCAGACTAAAAGGATAAGATTTAGCCTTGCCTCAGGGTTGTCACAGCTTCTTCCTCAGGTTTCCCCCATGTTTTTCTCCCTTCCAATCTCAAGGCCACTCCAGTTCAGCTTGATCTTGATCCAGGTTTCCCTTGTGTAGTAAAAGTATAACTCTACACTCAACACCAGCAGTCAAGTGATTCTTCCTGAAGCAATCACTAATGAGCCCTTTTCCCAACAATCAAACCATCCCTTCCCCCAGAATCACCTCCGGAAAAGTCTTTAGACATAGACTGAAAATGCTTTCTTCTACCTTATTTAAAACCAGAACTAGAGGCAAGAGTTCCACTTAGTTCCCTTGAAACTTAACTTCCTAGGAAGCAAGGCCCAAAGCTGGACATTCTGGGTAGTGCCTAGTCACTACAGTTGTTCTCATTATTAAACAAGTCAGGCCCTAGTACATTCTGCACAAAACCGTTCCTACTTATCCAACTGGGATCATGATGAAGGCAAGTCCAAAGAGAGACTAACAACAGCCAGTGGGAGGAGACACAAATTTCACTGTCATGTGAAAACTGAACTTCCTACAAAGTAAATGTTTTTTGTTTTTTTAAAAGCTTATCCCAGATCATTTCCCCCTCCCTCTAACTCATTTGAGGACTATACATCCAAGGACAGTTACCCAAGCCAGGCACTTGAGGCAATTCTTACCCACATTGTTTTTATGGCATTTGATGTGGCCACAGGCCGGGATCTGGAAACATTATTTATAGGATATATCAGAACAAAAACCATAAAAGTAATGACAAAGTCAAGACTTCTTATTGGCCATAATTTTTTTTTTAAGTCAACTATGGCAGCAAGTCAACTCACTGCTTTGCTTACGTTTTTCTTCCCAGGAACCCTTGGACAACTAACCAATCAATTTTGTCACTCCTTCCATTTTTTTTTTCTATCTTGTATCCTACAGCCGGGATTTCTTTCCCTTCCTACTTCCTTTGTCCTAAAAACAATCTCCAAACTTTGCTTTTAGTCTTTGGCCTTGAGGCCACACATGTCCACATGTGGCCAAAGTTCCCCACCCTGCTCTAGTTGGTCAATCAACCATCATTTACTAAGCACCTACTATGTGTCAGGCTAAATGCTGGGGGGATACAAAAGACAGTTCCTGCTCTCAAGAAGTTCACATTCTAATGGGGGAACAATGTCCAAACAACTATGTACAAACAAGTTATATTCTGGATAACGTGGGAGCTGTCTCAGAGGGAAGGCACTAGGATTCAGGTAGACTGAGAAAGACTTCTTGCATTATTAGGTGAGACTTGAAGGGAGCCAGACAAGTCAGGAGGAGGAGATGAGGAAGGAGAGTTGCAAACATGGGGAACAGCCAGTACAAATGCATGAAGTTAGGAGAAGGGCATGTTGTGTATAAGGAACAGTAAGTAATGTTACTGGATTGTCCAGCCAAAATCCCCACCACATCAGTACTCTATGTTATCCCTATCCCTACTCACAAAACACCCACAGGCTCTGCAATATTCTATGAACCACAACAGACTTTACTTGGGGGGAATAATCTGGTTCATTCTCACAATATACCTATTCAATATGGAAGAGGGTAGGTTTGATAAAGAAGGAAATAATTTTCTAGGAAAAAAAAAATCTGTTCTTCGAAGACCTGTATCCTAAGTCTCTTACTTCCCATAAACTCAAAAAAATTCAAACAACAAATACAGTACACAGTGACTCAACAATGAAAAAGTTGATTAATTTCTATGTTATCTCATTTCTACCCAGCTCTGAAACACGGGGAGAAAAAAGAATGTCCTCTTCAGTATCTCGGGTTCAAGGAAAAGAGAAATAAGACCCCATATTTAAAAAATAAAACATACTAGATAATAGTCATAGTAAATCACTGTCCAACTCATATAAACCAAGGGCTTTGCAATTAAAATCCAGCAGTCTAACTTTAGATAAAGCTTTTGCCTTATCCCTCAAGAAGAAAAGCACTTCAATATAACCTGGCTTACTGGACCACCACTGTGGATCCAAATTAGACAGGGTCTGACCCTAAAGAATAAGTAGTATCACCTATGCATTTTAACATAAACCCACCAAAATCTGGGATGGGACCTGCTTGTTGGTTCAGGATCTCTTGGTCTTTGACTATGGGTATAAATTATTACACTTTGGGTGAGCACACCTTAACTTCCACACCTTTTATTTTCCCTTCAAAGAATCAAAGGGAAATTTAAGTTATTTCAGAAGTGACTAATACCTGATTGGATTGGCAAGCTTAATATTACTTTCTTTAACAGAACTCCCTTAATAGTACTTTCCTCTCTGCAGCATTCCTGAGCTATAAGGGTTGGCACCTGAGTAAAAGAATATGAGTCCTCATCTGCCATGATGCCAACCTGCACAAAGAAGCATATCTTAGATGAGTTTCTGAATCTCTGCGTCCAGGGAAGTGCATAAGCCAGAAAGAGGAAAGGTACTGTTTTTATACAGCTGAAGGGCTACTTTTCCTCCATGTAAGGAAGAGAACCTTCCCTGAAACTGGGGCTCTTTTGCTCCTGGCTGAATATTCTATTTATTAGTCAGTGAGCATTTTATTCTATCCCCTGACTTTTCTTCCTTCCAATTCTGGATTCCAAATCTCAGTCCAATCCAGTGACTCTGTGTTTCATTTTACTACAGAGTTTCTTCTATTTTATCCCCCTTCTTCCCTTTTTGTTCCATTTTGCCTATGTCTCTTTTCCCTAACTGGATGGCTTTCTCTCCATATTCCCATCCCACTCAGGTCTCCATGACTACTCTGCAAAGGACCAAGATCACTATTCAATTTTTTTAAAAGATAAATTTGTATTGGTATCTTTTCTTAACATATAAACATATGTGTGCATGTATACATATATACACATACCTACATACACATATCCTCCTCTCCTCATCCTCCTAGAGAGCTGTCCCTTATCAGCAATAAAAAAAAGGGGGGGAGGGGGAAAGCAGTTCACTAAAAACTAGCCAACAATTTTTTTTTTAAAGTCTGACAGTTTATGCAGAGTTCCACGCCCAGTCCCTCACTTCAGCAAAGAAGGCATGGAGGTGCTTTCTTATCTCTTCTTTTGAGGCCAAGCTTGTTCATTATTTCACAGCACTCAATTCCTATCGTTTTGTTTTTGTTGTTCTTTCCATTTACACAATCGCAGACACAATGTATGTTCTCCTGGTTCTGTTTTCTTCACTTTGCGTCAGTTCATTAAGTCTTCCCCATGCTTCTCTCATTTCATGTGTCTTCCCATGCTTCTCTTTATTTTTTACGGCTGTAATCTTTCATTACATTCACTCATGACAACTATTTTAGCTATTCCCCAATAGATGGGCAGCTACTCCGTCTCCAGGTCTTTGCTATTACGTATAATAAAAAGCATTCCTATAAACATTTTGAAACAGCCGGGGTCTTTCTTTTTAATCACTGAACTCCTTGGGTCAAGACAATTACTGGGATTTAAAGAGCAGAATATTTCAAAAGTTTGTGTTGTCAGTTAATGGTGCTTAAGGGCGGAAATTCTGGGTCAAAGGGTATGGGCATTTTAGTCACTTTTTTAGCATAATTCCCAATTGCCTTCCAGAATGGTAGGACCAAGTCATGCTTCCAGCAACAGCTCATTAATGGTCCCCAACTGCTCCAAGATTGAGTATTGGATAACCCAATCCTGATAGTCTCCCACCCCATGACGCAAATTCCCTTGAAATGAGGCTCCTCGCCCTCAGGTCACCTCTCCAGACTAACCAAAGGCTGTTCTTCACACAGGGAATTTCCCCCTAATAGTTACTGGTCGGCAAACATCGTTCCGTTCATTCACTCAGTTCCCCCTTCTTTCCTCTCCCTGGGCCGCACTCCTCTCTTCTCTGGATCTCTCATTCACCCCAAAGCTCCTCATCTCCGCCCCCAGGATCCCCCACGACGGGCTCTTCTTCCTCCAAAAGCCCCCTCCCTCCCGGATCTCCCAGCAAACAGGCCTGCAGCCCCTTGGCAACTGAAAGACTCACAGGAGACCAGAGCAGGAGGTGCAGACAAAGCTGCCCACGGTGATGTCCACGTATGTCACCCCGCGCTGGGCACACTCGAAACAGTGGCGGTTTCCGGCCTGGCTGCTGCCACCCAGCTCCCGCACCCGGCGACACCACACCTCCGAAGCCGCCTCCGCCTCCGCTTTGCCGGCGCCGTCGCCGCCGCCGGGGCCCGGGCCCTTCTTCGCAGCCATCATCATCGCTTTTCCCCCACCCCCCTACCCCTCTTCAGCCGGCTCTCCTCAGACGCCAGCACTGACACCTTCTCTCCTGCACTCTCCTCACCCACGGATCCGGCAACCAAAACCCGCCCGCGCAGGCGCCGCCGCTACTCAACGCCTTCCTCTACTACAGCACCCCCCAGGCTCTGATTGGACGGCCTCTCTACCTCGCCTCCCTCACTGGTCCGATTATAAGGAAGCCGCAGGGGATAGCAACTCATCTAGCTCCACCCAGCGCCCCCACCTGGTGACCTTCAGGCTTTCCGATTGGTCTGCGGGAGAGAACGGACCATGCCACTTTTTCTTGGCCCCGCCCTTCTCTCTCTCTCTCTCTCTCTCTCTCTCTCTCTCTCTCTCTCTCTCTTCTCCTCTCTACTGCCCTAAGGGAACTCGGGCTGAGTTCTTATGATATATTAGGGAAAGAGGCAAAAATCCGGGCGGGATGACAAGCTTTCATGCCAGAACGTGCAACTTGCGCGCTTGCTACCCGCTATTTCCGCTCTTCCCAGTAACTTGAGCACCTGCCAAAATAGGAAACCTCTCCACCAATCATCAGATAGCTCTAGGAGACTAGTTGTGTCCTCTTTCAATTAAGCAGCCAGGTTGACCTCAGTGACACTTTAGGAAGGCTGCACTTTGTAGTGGGAAGAGCCCGGGAGCAGGAGGCGGGATACCTGGCTCAGCCACTAATGTGCTATGTCAGCCACTCAATAAACATTTATTTAGCGGCCTACTATGATAAAGTATCACAGTGGGGCTGTGATAAGCACTGGGGATACAAAGAAAGGCAAAAGATAGTTTGTGCCCTCGAGGAGCTCACTAGGGGGAAGGGACACAACATGCAAACAAATGCATTCAAAGTAAGCTAAATATAGAATAAATAGGAAATCATTAACAGAGAGGAGGCATTGGAATTAAGGGGGGTTGGGGAAGATTTCTTGTAGGAGTTGGGATTTTAATTGGGACTTAAAGAAAGCTGGGAAGGTCAGTAGTTGGAGAGGAGAAGGGAGAGCATTCCAGGGGTGAGTGACAGCCAGACAGAATGTCTAGAGCGAGAAATGAAGTGTCTTGTTTGTGGAACGTCCAAGAGGATGTCACTGGATGGAGGAGTTGGGGAGTAAGGTATAAGAAGACTGAAAACGCAGGAGGGGACTAGGTAATAAAGGGCTTTGAATGCCGAAAAGCATTTTGTATTTGCTTCTGGAATTTTTGTTACAGTTTAATGAGGGAGACAGCATGCAAGAACTATATACAAACAAGGTATCAAAGAGATAAATTGAAGGTAATAAACACAAGGAACGCCCTTAGAATTAAGGGGGATAAGGGAAGGTTTCCTGTGGAGAAGATTTTGGCTGGAACTTAAAGTAAGGAAGGGAAGCCAGGAGGCAAAGATGCGGAAGAAAGTTTCAGGCATGCTACTGAAAATGCTTGGACAGTGGGGAGATGGGGTGTCTTGTTGAAGGAAGAGCAAGGGTGCCTGTGTCACTGAATTGCAAAGTACACAGGAGGGGGTGGGGGAGAGGTGGAGAAGGTTTAAGAAGATTGCGAAGGTAGGAGGGGGCAAGTTATGAAAGGTTGTGAATGCCAAACAGAAGATGTTGTATTTGAAGTGATAACAGCGCCACTGGAATTTGCTGAGGAGGAGAGAGTGACATGGTCATACTTCTCCTTTAGGAAGCTCCATTTGAAAGCTGAGTGGAGGATGGACTGGAGTGGGGAGAGATTTGTGTCAGGGAGACCAACCAGAAGTCTAAGTTTGAGGTGATCAGGACCTGAACCAGAAAACCTGGCTTTCTAGTTCAAGGTGGTGGCAGAGGAGAGAAGGGGACATATTGGAGAGACATTTCAATGGTGAAATTCAGGAGCTTTGGTGACAGATTGGACATAGGATGAGAGAAAATGAGGGGTCCAGAGCAACTGAATTTGCCTTAGGTCTTCGAAGGTACTGTAATTCCTAATTATCACTCTTAATGGTAGAACCTGTCACTCTCAGAGTTGGCAGTCAAGTTAAACCTCTAGGTCCTAGAGGTCAAAGTAACTACTGCCAGTGGTGGAGGAGTAAGATTTCCTGGACTAAACCTTCTAGAGAGAGAAGGGAGGATGTCCTGTATAATGTCAAGTTCCTGGAGCCAGAATACAGAAGAGAAGAAAAGTTCTTCCCTCAAGTTCCAGAATATGTCTTCCCTAAGGAAGATGGGAAGCTCAGTGACTGTCTTGGGATCATGGAATGAGAATCATAGAATCAGTCAGTGACAGGATCAGAGATCTTGAATTGCAAAGGGTGTTAGAAGTCATCCAGTTCAAGGCAAACCTTCCTGATTCTAAGTCCATTGCTTATCCTTGTTAACAGGATTTTTACTGAGCCAGTCTCCAACCTGAGAATGCTCAGAGCCATCCACACAAATTATTGGCATTTCTATATATTACTAACAAAGCCCAACAGCAAGAGATAGAAAGAGAAATTCCATTTAAAGTTACTGTAAACATTATAAAATATTTAGGAGTCTACCTGCCAAAACAAACTCAGGAACTATATGAACACAATTACAAAACACTTTTCATACAAATAAAGTCAGATTTAAATAATTGGGAAAATATAAGTTGCTTGTGGGTAGGTTGAGCTAATATAGTAAAAATGACAATTCTACCTAAATTAATTTATTTATTCAGTGCCATTCCAATCAAACTACCAAAAAATTATTTCATGGAGCTAGAAAAAAACAACAAAACTCATCTGGAAGAACAAAACGTCCAGAATATCAAGGGAACTAATGAAAAGATGTGCAAGGGAAGGTGGCCTAGTTGTACCAGTTCTTAAATTGTGTTGTAAAGCAGCAATCATCAAAACTACTTGGTACTGGCCAAGAAATAGAGTGGTGGAAAAGTGAAATAGGTTAGGTATGCAAGACACAACAGTCAATGACTATACTAATCTACTATTTGATAAATCCAAAGACTCCAGCTTCTGGGATAAGAAATCACTATTTAACAAAAACTGCTGGGAAAACTGGAAAATAATATGGCAGAAACTGGGCATAGACCAACAGCTTATACCAAGATAAAGTCAAAATGGGTACATGATTTAGATATAAAGGCTGATAGTATAAGCAAACTAGGAGAGCAAGGAATAGTTTACCAATCAGATCTATGGGGAAGGGAAGAATTTACGACCAAACAAGAGATAGAGAACATCATGAAATGCAAAGTGGATAGTTTTGATTACATTAAATTGGAAAGTTTTTGCACAAACAAAGTCAGTGCAACCAAGATCAGGAGGGAAGCAGAAAGCTAGGAAAGAATTTTTACAACCAATGTTGTAAATAATAATAAAGGCCTCATTTCTAAAATACATAGAGAACTGAGTCAAATTTATAAGAATACAAGTCATTCCCCAATTGATAAATGGTCAAAGGATATGAACAGGGATTTTTCAGATAAAGAAGTTAAAGCTATCTATAGTCATATGAAAAAGTGTCCTAAATCACTATTGATTAGAGAAATGCAAATCAAAATGACTCTGAGGTACCACATCACACTTATCAGATTGGCTAATATGACAAAACAGGAAAATGATAAATGTTGGAGAAGATGTGGGAAAATTGGAACACTAATGCATTGTTGATGGAGTTGTGAAGTGATCCAACCATTCTGGAGAGCAATTTGGAACTATGCCCAAAGGGCTATAAAATTGACCCAGCAATACCACTTCTAGGTCTGTATCCCAAAGAGATCATAAAAAATAGGACAGGGACCCACATGTACAAAAATATAACAGCTCTTTCTGTGGTGGCCAAGAATTGGAAATTGAGGGGATGCCTATCACTTGGGGAATGACTGAAAAAGTTGTGGTATATGAATGTAATGGAATACTATTGTGCTATAAGAAATGATGAGCGGGCAAACTTCAAAAAAAACTTGGAAAGACTTACATGAACTGATGCAGAGTGAAATGAATAGAACCAGGAGAACATTATACACAGTAATAGCCACATTATAGGATGACTAACTTTGATAGACTTGGCTCTTCACAGCAATGCAAGAATCTAAGACAACTCCAAAAGATTCATGATGGAAATTACTTTCCACACCCAGAGAAAGAAATATGGAATCTGAATGCAGATTCTTAAGTCTCATAATACAAAAATTCTGGAGAAAAGTCTTTCAGGGTTGTGACTGCCTACCCTAAAGTACAGAATCAGAGCTCTGTGATGGGAACAGGTTCTTCAATCTTTGATTCTCTTCACTTTAAGGTCCAATGATTGTGAGCATTGTCAGAGCTTTGATTAATCAGTTTAAGCTGCATTGTGAGCTCTGACTCCCAAGCCAGAGAGGCAGCTCTTGAGAAAACTAAATTATTAGTATATTCATTATACATATCATATAAATTAATATGAAAATTATAAATTCCCTTCTCATCTTCTACTCCTATGTTGCCTCTCATGTTATTATTATTATTATTAACTATAATACTAGATACAATTATCTTGTGAGTAAGATGTTATTATCATGGGAGGCAATGTGTTACAAAGTAGAGATGTCTCTGGAGGACCTGGGTCCAAAATCCTGCCTCTAATGCTTACTGCTTGTATGACCTTGGGCAAGTCAACCTCTCCAGGTCTCAGCTTTCTCATCTGTAAAGCCAAGGGGTTAGACCAGATGGTCTCTGAGGTCTCTTCTATATCTAAGATCCTAAGATCTTCATTTTATAGATGAGAAAACTATCCAGCAGCACAGAGCTAGCAAGTGTGAGTTAGGACTTGAATCTGAGTTAGGACTTGAATCTAGGTCTGCTTAGCTCTGAGTCTAATGTTCTGTCTATGTTGCCTCTGTTAATATGATATAACGTTTTCTGAAGGGCTGAGCTGGAGAGATGTGGGACCAGGGGGGAGGAAAGAGAATAGAGACCTCCATTTGTTGCTGGGCAGGTTCTCTTTCTTTCTATGGAGAAGACCTGTAGCAGGGGATGTCCACTTGGGTTTCCATTTTGCGAATTT